CACACACACACACACACACACACACACACACACACACACACAACCACAAACACATTTGTGTGCATTTATGAGAACCTGCACTAAATGTACACTCCCGAGAACCATTAAAGCTTTTGGCGCCAGGGGGGCCGCATGAGATGAAGATGGAAGTTGTTTTGGTTAGTGCGAACAAACTACATCCAATTTTACAGTGGTCTAATGTCCGTCACTGGTCAACAGGTCTCTCAGTTCCCGTTGCAGAGCCATGAGCTTCTCCAAGGTCTTATCCATATTGCCTTCAATAAACACAGTCTGAGTACTCAAAGCTCTGCCTATTGTCTATCATGTCGGCCAGCCTTGTGGGATTTTGAACAGGTCTACCCGCTTTTTGTTCTTCGATAAGCCAGGTCTTAGCCAGCTCCATTCAGCCAGAACTCTGTTATCGTGGTTCCGAATTGGTAGATGTCGCTCAATGTTCTCCATCAAGAGTGTTGCCAGACACACGACACAACCATATATATATATATATATATATATATATATATCTTAAACTTATTAGATATGTGAAGCTAAAATTTCAGAACAATTATCATGAATTATTATATGTTGCACACTTAGATTAAAAGAAATTGAAACCAGTGTAGCTTCGTGAGTCTGCCTTTATCTTCTGTACATATATAGACATGGTTCATGGTTACACGTTTGCACATAGTCTCACACAGCTCTTGTTGGGCACACTGCATTATGGTGAGTGGCCTGGCATATTTACGCCTGCTAGAGGTGCTCATTTCAGGAGATACTGCCTCTTGTGGTGTAACGGAGGAATAACTACCCTTCCAGCACTATCTCTCATTAGAGACAGGGGCACACATTATTTTACAACAAATAAAGAAAATAACATATTTGAACAATCGGAACATTTTAACCAAACATTGTAAATAAAAGATTTTGGGGAAGGGGGGTCTTGTTTTTGTCAGTAATGCCTTTCTTACCCTTACATATAAACGTTAACATTTTCCACCATACAATATATGCAAATTGGAGATAGTTGAGGACAATAATTGTTTGGTTGGAGACAGAATGACCAATATGAGTTTATTTCAGAGTACTTTGGCTTTTAGTTTCACTGATCATCTCTTTTCTCCTGCTCTCCTGCAGGCCATGTTTGAGACCTTCAACACTCCTGCCATGTATGTGGCCATCCAGGCAGTGCTGTCCCTGTATGCCTCTGGTCGTACCACTGGTATTGTCACGGACTCCGGTGACGGTGTGACCCACACTGTGCCCATCTATGAAGGCTACGCTCTGCCCCATGCCATCCTCAGATTGGACCTGGCTGGCAGGGACCTCACAGACTACCTTGGTAAAATCCTCACTGAGAGGGGCCACAACTTTACCACCACAGGTGAGCACATGGACACAGTCAAGAGAAGATGTGTAAAACTAGGAAAAAATTTAAAAATCACAATAAAAAGTTGGGGGTTTTCTTGTCTCACAGCTGAGCGTGAGATTGTGCGTGACATCAAGGAGAATCTGTGCTATGTTGCCCTGGACTTTGAGAGAGAGATTGAAAGAGCTGCCTGCTCTTCGTCATTGGATAAGAAGTATGAGCTGCCTGATGGACAGGTCATCACTATTGGGAATGAGAGGTTCCGTTGCCCAGAGGCTCTCTTCCAGCCCTCATTCCTTGGTAAGCAGCATCAGCTTTAAGATAGATTTCCGTGATTTGTAAAAAGTAGTCCTTAGCAAGGCTAACCTTAACCCCAAACTTTCCAACTCTCCACAGGTATGGAGTCTTGTGGTATCCATGAAACTACCTTTAACAGCATCATGAAGTGTGACGTTGACATCCGTAAGGACCTGTACGCCAACACTGTGCTGTCTGGAGGTACCACCATGTACCCTGGCATTGCTGACCGCATGCAGAAGGAGATCACTTCACTGGCACCCAAAAACCTAAAAATCAAGGTAAAGTTATTGCTTCTTATGTACTCTTTCATACTCACTCTTTTTTTAAAGGTGCTTCACTTTCACACGAACAAGGTATTTAACACTGTGCTGAATTTGTATGTCTGGCAGAATGTAAGTGCACTTCCTAAAAGTCTTCATTGCTGAACCCTCTTCATCTCTGCCCTTGCAGATTATTGCTCCCCCAGAGAGGAAGTACTCTGTATGGATTGGAGGCTCCATCCTGGCTTCTCTGTCCACCTTCCAGGACATGTGGATCAGCAAGCAGGAGTACGATGAGTCCGGCGCCAGCATCGTCCACAGAAAGTGCTTCTAGATAGACTGCCCTCAACCTACCAAAGCACACACTGCTACAAACCCCATAGTGACTGGCTCTGCATGCATGTCTACATCACCAGAATGATGTATGCCGAGCCTACACCTCTTCCATTTTTAATTCATCACTCTGGGTATGGTACCATGCACCCTGATGGGGAGAAATTCTTCCGCCTGAATTTATTTCCAAAATTAAGCCCATTGATATTGGAAAAGTTTGTATGATAACACTCAGTACATTAATAAATTCATAAATCAAGCAAAATTCTATTACTTTTTTTGTTCTGCCTAATTTGCACAACTTCTGTTTTTTGCTTCACTATTACTTTATTATTACACATATGCTTTCACACTAATGCTCTTATTAACTATGAGTATTCTTCCCAGTGAAATCTGGAAAATCTACATCTTACAGATTGAACAATTTTATAATATAGTGAAATGCAGAGATTGGGTTAAGCTTCGTGAAGATGTATTTGACAAATTTTGGGGTGTAAAACACAACACTGAACACTGATTGAAAGTAGAGACGCATTTCCTCTGAGTACTTTGCTAGTTTTATTCATAGCCATCTGCTACAATGAATGGAGGGAAAGACTTTATCTTATTTTTCTGCAAATATTGATTTATAAAGATGAATTAATAGCACAATGTTAAGGTAAAAGCCGTGCTCTAATGACTTAATTTTGTTTTCTGTATTAGTATTTTTTTTATCAGCAGACTTTTCTTTTTCTTAGAGATGCACTGTATTTAGGTGATTAATGAGGGTTTCTTTTATTTTAATGCAAATAATTAATGCAAATATTTGTAAATGACGATCATTTTGTCTTTTGTCAGTGTCTGTTTACATTTCTGTAATAACAACATCTTTGTCAATAAAATCAGTGAATAACTGTGGTAAATAATCGTGATCTCAATATTGGACAAAATATTCACGATTGCCATTTTGGTAATCAAGTGCAAGCATCAGTGGTGCTCAGCATGTAGAAATATAGGTGAAAAAAAAAAGAAAGAAAAAGAAATGTAGGTGACCAGCTAAATAAAGCTCGCTTTTCGTTCAAACACAACTCTACTCTCCGCATCTGCATCTGAGTTGTGAAATCAACACAATCGGAGCACCCCGCCGTGACACTATAGATAAATGTATAATTGCTATTTTGAGTGGCTGTAGCTCAGGTGGTAGAGCAGGTCACCTACTAACCAGAAGATTGGTGATTCTATATCTGTCTTTTTAATGTCTGCCTTAAGCATTTATACTAATTAAGCTATGCAGAATACAGATACACCATTTATCTATTCTTTTTATACTGCTCATCTGGAGCTGGGCTTCAGCAGCCTAAGAAGAGAAATTCATGCCTCCTACCTCTCAGCCACCTCCTCCTGCTGATCACTGAGACATTCCCAAGCAGATCTGTAACCTCTCCAGTCCCGGGTCTACTCTGGGGCCACGTCCCAGCCTCACACCAGGTTTTTTTTTTTCAGGTAATGTTTTTTGTTTGTATCAAATGTTCCAAAAGGCATCGTCAGCATTGGGATTATTAGCAGAAATTAGACGTGGCATGCTCTAATTGGTTCAAGCTTCTTATGTCAGACAGTCTCCAGTCTTCAGATAGATTAGTTGTAAAGAAGAAAAGATAAATAAGCCATGGTATAGATGTTTTAAAGGCAGAAACTATCCATACAGGCCAAAAACTTTTTTGTGCCAATGTAAATGTATGTGAAAGCATATAAATATGCTTTAAAATACTGTTGAGTTGGACAGTTTCACCTGTTTGTCTGTGGGGATTGTCTGCCCTCAGGTGGCCACTATGGGAATTGAAGGAAGCCGTTTGGGCCAGATTGAAGTCTTTGTTTGGATCATGGAGACAGGTAACTCATTTGCCACTGTTTGATGTTTTAACAACAGAAACGTTACCCTTATAATTATTGTTGAAATGAACTATGCAGTTGTCTGAGTGATGTAACAAGTGCAGTAGGCAGTGTACTGTATGTGTGTGTAGTTTTTCTCTTTTAAACAGATGCTCTGATAAACCTCACTTGTTGTCACTTTTTACTAGAAGAGCATGTTAAAGACTTCAGCTCAATCAGTTAAACATATGGTGTTGTTAAAGCTTATAAAGTTACCAAGAAGTCCCTTGAAATCTTTGCAAAATAAAACACTTGGCTATAGAAGGACTGATCATAGAAGAGGGGGACATACACATAACACTGAAGTAAGACAGAGAGTGGTTACAAAGAGGAGATGGATTTTGGTACACTATAGGTCCAACCACAAACCTCCAGAAGATAACGAAGGTGAGCAAAACAGTTACGTAACAAAACAGTTATATAACTAAAACGTATTTTTCTCTATAGTGTTATAATTTTGTTTACCAATTTCCATTTTATTAAAGGAAGATCGGAATTATTTATCTAGCAGACAATCATTTGCATTAGTAACTTGAACTACATAAATAAAAGATATTTTACTGATTTTGCTTGAAATTGATATTAAAATGTATTCACTTTACTTTCAAAACGATACAATAGCGGGGTTTTCCAACATTCTAGGTTTATGCCACGAACATAGATCAGTAATGAGCAGCACACCGACGAATGAAAAGAAACTATCTGATTTGGAGTCGCGCGGTCCTTTGCAGAACACAACAAAGTTGCGGTTCCTCGTGAGCGCGCTTTAGGGGACTGGGATACAATTATTGTCAGAGGTACTGCTTTGGCCTAATACCTATTAGAACTACACCTAACAGAGCCACACCTGTGCAGCTATATTTACAGAATACAGTCAGAACATTTCCTGCAAAAGATAACTTATACAGCTGAGATTTTATATTAAAAGGTTATATGGAGACAAAACATTAAACTGTGGAGCATTCCACTGGCATTTCAGTTTGCCAGAATTTTTTTCATTACAGAGCCTGCATTTTAACCACGTGGACCGAGAAATATGAACACGTCTCACATATGTCACTGATCGTGCTGTTTATGTAGAAAGAAAGAAAGAAAGAAAGAAAGAAAGAAAGAAAGAAAGAAAGAAAGAAAGAAAGAAAGAAAGAAAGAAAGAAAGAAAGAAAGAAAGAAAACATTTTTTAAGAAGGAAGAAATTAGTCACATGGGTTACTCTGTCACGGTGACAGAACGAATAGGAGTGTTTAGGTAGTTCAGTAGTATTTTGTAAGTATGTTTCGTTTTATAAATACCGAATACAGATCGTGTTCAAAATAAGACACCGGATTCAAAATAGATGATACAATGTGTGTGTGTGTGTGTGTGTGTGTGTGTGTGTGTGTGTGTGTGTGTGTGTGTGTGTGTGTGTGAGAGAGTGTGTGTGTGTGGGGGGGTTGTTGGTATTCTGTTTACACATCTTAG